CTTTAAAAACCTGAAAAAGGAAATCAAAACAGAACTTAGAAAGTGGAAAAAAACCTCCTCTGCTACTGGGTTGGAAGGACCAACATTGTAAAAATGGCAATACTTACCAAGGCTATCTACAAATTCAACGCAATACCTATCAATATTCCAACTTCATTCTTCAAGGAAATAGAAGAGGCAATCCAAAAATTCATATGGATCAATCAAAGACTCCGAATAGCTAAAATGATATTTAACAGAAAGAACAGTGTTGGAGGAATATCAATACCAAATTTCAAACTCTACTACAAAGCCATAGTAATCAAAACAGCTTGTGACTGGCACAAGAACAGACCTCAGGACCAATGGAATACAATTGAAAACCCAGAAATAAACCCACAGATCTATAGCCACCTAATCTTTAATAAGGGAGCTAAAATAAAAGAGAATGGAAGAAAGACAACCTCTTCAGTAAATGGTGCTGGCAAAATTGGTTAACTACTTATAGAAAACTAAAGCTAGATCCTTATATATCACCCTGCACCACAATCAACTCCAAATGGGTCAAAGACCTCGGAGTCAAAGCAGACACTCTGAAAACATTACAGGATGGAATAGGAGAAAACCTAAGTCTCCTTAGCACAGGCCAAAATTTTCTTAATAGAGACCCAGAAACACAACAAATCAAAGAAAGGTTGAACAAATGGGACTGCATGAAGTTGCAGAGCTTCTGCATGGCAAAGGACATAACTAGAAAGAACAATAGAAAGCCCAGAAATTGGGTCACACAACAGATAAGGGTCTCATATCAAAAATATACCTGGAAGTCAAAAATTTAAATCCACCAACAACAAATCTTCAAAGAAACAACTGCCCAATAAATAAGTGGGCAATAGATTTAAAGAGAAACATCTCTGAAAGGGAAAGAAGAATGGCCAGTAGACACAGGAAGAAATGAGCAACATACCTAGCCATAAAAGAAATGAAAATCAAAACAACATTGAGATACCACCTCGTCCAAGTTACAATGGCTCTTGATAAGAAATGCACTCGTTATCTTGCCCATGTAATTGTAACACCTCTGTACACTATTTTCACAATAAAAAATAAACAAACAAATAAATAAATAAAAAGAACTCTAATAACAACAGATGCTGGAGAGGATGTGGACAGAAGAGAACCCTACTGCATTGTTGATGGGAGTGCAAACTTGTTCAATCATTTTGGAAACTAGTATGGAGGTTCCTCAAAAGACTCCACATAGAGCTTCCCTTTGACCCAGCAATCCCACTTTTGGGCATCTACCCAAATGATCACAAACAAGACCATACTAAATCTACCAGCACAACTATGTTTATCACAGCATTATTTACCATAGTTAAAATATGGACCAACCCCGATGCCCCTCAGTAGATGAATGGATCAAGAAAATGTGGTATATATACACAGTGGAATTCTTTGCCTCTATGAGAAAGAATGACATTGCCCCATTTCTTAGGAAATGGAAAGACTTGGAAAAATTATATTAAGTGAAGTAAGCCAGGTGCCAAGAAACATAGGTTTCTTATTTGCAGTAACTTGTACATATCTGAGACAAGCAGAATGAAATAAAAGCCATGGCTTATGGTGGAGGCAGAAGGTCAATGGAGATGTAACAGCTTCCACATGATCAATGTGCTTAATATACATTTAGGAAAATTGGATAATGAGATGTATAGAATGGTTTTAAGAAGGGATAGTATTGATGGATGTTATTTGTTGTGGGCCTAAAAAGAGTATGTTATATACATATTTGGATACTTCAAAACACTTTAAAAAATCTCTTTAATTTTTTCATTTTTAGTTTTGGAATTTAAATTGTCTTTAAGACGTTGGAGTTGCATTTTGCAAAGAAATTTATGAATATCATATATAAATTGACCAGTGTTACCCCTTTCAACGTTTCGCTCGTCCCTCTCCTATCCACCTCTTCCATCTTTTCATTTAATAGGATATATATATTTGGTGTGTGACTGCATTCTCCTCTTCTCCTAACCTGATCCCAGCTCCTGGAGTACCTGTTTCCTGGTGTTTTATTTTGCAGAAAGTTGACTTTCCCATTGTAGGGAATCACATTTTTTAATTCTCCCTTGAATCTACTGTATTTCAATTAATACACTTGAATAAAATTGCATATCACCCAAGCTTTTACTTTATAAACTAATTCTAGCTTCCATACATAAAGGAAAACATTCATCCTTTGTTTATCTGGACCTGACTTACTTCACTTAGTATACAGTTTTTCCAGTTTTTACATCTCATTACATATGATACATCATTCATTCTTATGAATGAACAAAAAAACATTGTGTATGTAGACCATATTCTTGGTTCCTTTATCCATTGAAGGACATTCAGGAAGATTCCAGACTTCGGTTTTAGATAGATAGATAGATAGTTAGTTAGATGGATGGATGGATAGATAGATAGATAGTAATATATAATGTATGTACATATGCATATATATATATAATTATGAGTGATACAGATATTTTGTTTTTTATTTTAAATATTTATGTGACTGAAAATTTACTGTATATATATATATATAGTATATATGACATATATAATGTGTGTACATATATATATATAATTTTGAGTAATACAGACTTTTTATTTATTTTAAATTTTTTATTATTTCATTTTTATTAATTTTATTTTTATTGTAAAGTTACTGTACAGAAGAGTTACAGTTACATGAGCAAGGTAATGAGTCCATTTCCTATCAAGCATTGTTACCCCCTCCATTGTTTTTTGATGCAGATATTTCCATAAGAGTCATTTTCCCAATGTATGCCCAATGGAGAATTTTTCTTCTTATGTTTTCTACTTTTTTGAAAAACCTATGTTTTTCTTTGTAGATCTCTTTCACTTCCTTGATTACATTTATTCAATCCATCCATGTGTACATTCTTCTCATTGCTTCATTTAAGAGAAAAAGTCTTGTGTAAGTTTATTGAAATCCTAACTCAGAAAAATCTTCTCCTAAAACTTTCACTAACACAATGAGCATTCTGAATTTGTCTCAATTATATAAGTTCAACTCTATTAATGAAATTCCTCAAATAGAGAAGATGGTCAAAAATTCATTAGAAACTGAAGGGTATTTTGATTATATCTTGATTACCATAATGAGGAAATTGACAATTGCATTTTCATTTGTTAAACAACATTCCCTCAACAAAAGAACAAGCACACAAAAAATTTGCCAAACATTGCTATATTGTCAACTAAAAATTTAATTTATAAAAAACTATAGTAAGTACCATAGACATTTATTATTACAAATTTAAATGAGAGATGTTTGAAATCAGACAAGGGAAGAAAGTATATGAGATTCTTTTTATTTGTCATGCATGGTGCTTGAACTCTAGGCCTGGGCACTGTCTCTTAGCTCTTCAGCTCAAGACTAGCACACTACCACTTGAGCAACAGGACCGCCTCCATATTTCTGTTTGTTAATTGGAGATGAGAGTCTCCTACCCTTTACTTCCTGCATTGGCTTGGAGATGTGATCCTCAGATCTCAGCCTCCTAAATAGCTAGGATTACAGAAGTGAAACACAGGTGCCAGTCAACACTCTTATTTCCAATAAGAGACCAAACAGCTAGAAATGGAGCTGGGGTTCAAGTGGTAAAGAAGCCTTGAGAGAAAAATGTAAAAGACAGCATATGCCCTGAGTACAAATGTGCTTAAATCAATTGAATTAATATCAGAAGAAACATGAAAAACTCTTGAACAGGCAAGTGAATACAATTGTGTCCATATCTCTTAAATATGTGATTCTGTAAATATAGTATAGAGCCCATTAAATCAACCGATTTGAACAATAAGTAAAGCTGTCCTTAACAAGAGCCCTGAAATGTAGCAATTAAAAATTTCCTGTTTGAACAGGTTGTTAGAAGTGAAAATATTACAAGAAATAATCTTGTATATATTTAATATCAAATTTTTGTGTCAAATTAAATGGAGTGTTTAACAAACCATAAAATAAAAAGTATATTCAGGCAAGACTAGGCTTATTATTATGCATGATGGAGGTTAATCATAGGAAGATATACCAAAAAATCTTATACCTGGAAATCTTAAGTCAAAGTTTAATTTTTCTAACACTCACAAGTCATTCCTAAGGTATATGGGGGAAGCTGTGTGAAAGGGAAGAGGAAGGAACAAAGGAGATGGAGAGAGAAAAAGAAAGAGAGACTAGGACAGAGAGGAGGTCCCACAAAAAAGACTAAGGATAATTTGAAGAGGTCAATATGTGAGTAGAAATATGCAAGTACTGAACAAAGCAATATCTAAGGACAATATTAAAGGATGTAAATTTATGAAGAGGAAAATATTAATAAAATGGATTTGAGGACTCTGCAACATGGTTGTATGCAGACAGGAAGTTAATATACTGAAAAATTTAGAAGAGTTATTGAGAAAGACAAGAGTGAAAAGACATTAAGAAGAGGGGATAATAGAATTAAGCACAGATTAAATAGGAGAAACCAAAAACATAGAATCAAAACCCCAGTTTAAATAGTGAACACCATCACTTGTGACTACGTCTGCTATAAAAACGCACATGAGGTATTTGAAGCAAAACATTCATAACATATACCATACAAAAGAGATAATTACTGTAGATTTAGATCAGACATTCGGTAAACTGATTAAACCTATGTGCATAATCTCAAGAATGCTTATTTGTCCTACTATACCATTTTTATTTTTTTTTGTCGGTCGTGGAGCTTGAACTCTGGGGGAGCTTGAACTCTGGGCCTGGGCGCTGTCCCTCAGTTCTTCAGCTCAAGGCGAGCACTCTACCACTTGAGCTACAGTGCCACTTCCGGTTTTCTGGTGGTTTATTGGAGATAGGAGTCTCACGGTCTTTCCTGCCCGGGCTGGCTTTGAACCGCAATCCTCAGATCTCGGCCTCCTGAGTAGCTAGGATTACAGGCATGAGCCACCAGCGCCCGGCTGTCCTACTATACCTTTTGTCCCTGAAGCCATACAGACAATTTCTATTTGGCAATAACAAAATGATGTAACACTTGGTGGCAAAAATGCAGCCTAGGAGTCCTGCCCCAGAGGCCAAAATGGAGAAGACCTCCACAGCCACCATGACTTTCCCCTTGGCACTGTGGTCGACAGGCAGGAAGGTGAGCCACACATTGCAGAACAACAGCATGTTGAAGGTAGGAACTTAGCTTCATTGAAGGTGTCAGGCAAGTTCTTGGCCAGAAAAGCCACAGTGAAGCTGGCCAGGGCCAGGGTACCCAGGTATCCGAGGACACAATAGAAGACAATGAGGGAGCCCTTGTTACACAGAATGATGCTGTGGCCATGTTCAGAGAGGGCATCTGTGTCCACAAAGGGAGGAGAAATTCCCAGCCACAGTCCACACAGGGCCACCTGGATGAGGGTGCAGATGGGGACGATGAAGTTAGGAGCCCCTGATACCAGCAGCCACCTCATCCTTCTCCTGGGGAAGCTGCCTTGAAGGCCAGAACCACAGTCACTGTTTTGGCCAACACTGTGGAAACATCCAGAGTGAACACAATTCCAAAGGCAGTTTGCTGCAGGATGCAGGTGACTGTGATGTGTCCGCCAAGAAACAGCAAGGAACAGAGGAAATAGAAGATGAGGGAGATGATCAAGATGTAGCTGAGAGCCCAGTTATTAGCCTTGACAATGGGAGTGTCTTGGTGTTTCAAAAACATCCCAAGAACAATAGAAGTTAACAAGGTGAAGCAAAGAGCCATGCCCAAGGGTTCTCCAAAGGCCAAGAAAGTTGCAGCTCTCAAGATGTACTGAGTCCTCTTTGTGTTGGCATACTGATGACCTTGACACTTCACACATTGCTCCATATCTGGTGATACATGTATACTACCATTACTTCTGTTAATTTTATTTTTTTATTAATAAGTTTTTTATTGGGAAAATACTAACACAGGGCTTACAATTACATGGGCAAGGTAATAAGTACATTTCTTACCAAGCAAGCATTGTTGCTTCCTCCTTTGTTTCCCCTAACCATCCCTGAACACCCTCTGCCCCAACACCACCCCTCCACTACCCACTTCCCCCCAAACTTGTAAAGTTCGTTTTTCGACATAGCATTGGACATTTCATTGTTGCAGTGGGTCCAGCTGTATCCCTATTTACGCAATTTGTTTTTTCCCTTCCCCTTCCCAAATTATACCAACATCAAATACAGTGAAAACAAGGTTTATACCATGGGGGAGGAACATACAAAGCAACAAAACAATCACCTTATAAATACATTGGAAACAATAGCAAAAAAGAAAAAAACAATTGAATCCCTATCTTGGGGTTCATTTCGCCTAACATCAACTTATCTGAACTTTTCTGCTTGTCTCAGACATATAATAGTTATTACAAATAAGGGAAACCATGGGAACTATGGCTCTTTGGGCCTTGCTTACTTCACTTAATATAATTATTTCTAAGTCTTTCCATTTCCTACTAAACTGCAGAGCTTCTGAATGGCAAAGAACATAGCTAGAAATATCAATAGAAAGCCCACAGATTGGGAGAAGATCTTCACTAGCCATACAACAGACAAGGGTCTCATATCTAAAATATACTTGGAACTCAAAAGATTAAACCCCCCAACAACAAATCCTCAAAGAAACAACTGCCCAATAAATAAGTAGGCTAAAGACTTAAAGAGAAACTTCTCTGAAGAAGAAAGAAGGATGGCCAATAGACAC